GGACCTCGATGAAGGCGTTGATCCGCACCGCGAGGAGCATGGCGCCGGAAGCATGAGGAGAATGAACCTAGGACCATGAGCCTCTCGTCGGTCGAAGGACGCGGCTACGGACAAGAGAAGTCCGAGCGGGAAGAGGCCGTGGCCGACGAAGGTCGAGAGCATGCTGGGTCAGTAGTTGCTCGGTTGGGTGTGCAGGACGGAGGAAATTTGGAACTGACGCTGTTTTTCACCGCAGATCCGTGTGTAAAAAAGTATGCCGATGTGTGAAATGCAATGCACTTGGTTTGTATTGATAATTCGCGGTTGGGAGGTGAAAAACGTGGCAAATGCGAAACCTCCACCGGCGGTTACACATATTCATATTGGCGAGCGACCATGGCGCTTGTCAATACGAGAAAAACATATTTTCCTTCCAGTGTCGTGCCTCGCATACCTCTCAGCAAGCTGCAACCAAGGCCCAAATCTATGGTACGTGGCTCTGCTGCTCGTCGTCGCGACGCAGGCAAGCGCCGTTCGAATCCATCTGCAAAAACTTCAGCATGGGATTCTCCTCAACGAGAGATATGAGAATGCTTGCCAGCATTCGGCATGGATGCCTCGAGCAAGATGATTTGTGGCATGACACCCTATATACTGGGTAGAAAGCAGAGACAGCTACCACGTCGACGTGATCGTAGTCTAGCTCCATGGTGAGCGGTGCACTTGGTTATGAGAGGAGTTGAAAATGGAAGGTCCTGCCGAGAATCGAACCCTGCTCTGGTATCAATCGGAGCCGTCGTTCACTCACACTGTACACAATAGCTGGTCCAAGCTGCCTCACTTCCGACATCGCGTCGCTCCACTGGGTGGTTTCGACAGCAGCAAAAATCACCTTTAGTGGACCCAAAGCAAAGGCCTCGAGGTCCCCGCTCGCTCCCCCACGAGCACATTGCTGGGCCTGTCGATGATGCATGCGAAAGATCGTTCGTATGAGCTGTCGTTGTATCGGATACTCGGATCCGATCCCAGGAGCTCCCACGCCAGCAACTCAACACGACTGCTCGATCGCACTTGAAATCGCACTTGCAGTGTATGTTCCATGGGCTACGGCACGTCGCTCGGTTCTGTACCGCAAGATATCCAAATGCGAACCTTCGGTGCCACGTCTGAAGAATCAACGCGTCATTTTGTTTGGTTGTCGTCGCTCAACCGCTGGATGACCTGCTGCTCGTCCTCGATTCGGAAGCAGAAAGCCATGGCATGCAAGCCATCAAGAAATCGAACGTCGTCGGTTGTCGTCGTTCACCCAACGCGGTTTTCGAAGAAAGGCGCATGCGTTGGAGCGTGGGACAGCTGCTGCGGCCTTGACACGTTGTTGGTGATCGTCGCTCACTTTTCAATCTTGTCGCTTTCGTGTACTAGAGCAATGCCGACCACGCGCGAGTCGCCGGCCTTGCGCGCCCTGAGCGTCGCGGGCATCGTCCGCAGCATCGCGTCGTTCCAAGACGGCATCTTCGAAGACCTCCGTCCGTTCCTGGGTTTTGACTACAAAGCGTGGGTCAACACGCCGTTCGACAAGCGCCTCCTGGTGCAGCTCGAGCCCTTCCATGCACTCCTTCTGCCGTGGCTCGCCGACCATTCAATTGACCGACTCGCACAGCTCTTTGAGGCCTTGCCCGACGTCGCGCCGCTCGTGACCGAGACCGCCATCTACTACGGCCACGACGACCTCGTCGCCCACCTCTCAGCGCACTGGCGGCACAAGGCGACGTCGCTCCGGTCCATGGACTTGGCGGCGTGGGCAGGGCACTTTTCGATTTTAAAGCGTCTCCATGAAGAAGACTTTGGCGGCTGCTCGCACCTCGCGATGGACTGGGGCGCGCGCGGTGGTCACTTGGACATTGTCCAGTTTCTCCACGAGCAGCGCCGAGAAGGCTGCACGACGGAAGCCATGAACTGGGCGGCGAACCTCGGGCACTTGGCGATCGTTCAATTTCTTCATTTCAAGCGCACGGAAGGCTGCACGAAAGAGGCGCTTAACTGGTCGGCGGGCAACGGCCACCTCGACGTCGTTCAGTTTCTGCACACGCACCGCAACGAGGGCATGGCCGAGTACGGCA